TATTTACAAGATAAATGAGTTGTACAAAGTATATAAGAAGGAGCTTGGAGTCATTGGAAATGAAAGTACGTGCCGGATATATAGAGGCCCAAAACTTATTCCTAACCCAAATTTAAAGTGCATAATAAGAGGTTGTCCAAAATCAACACGTTTTCTGAATGAAATAGATAGGCGTGAGATGAGAAGAACCCGACGTTGCACTCTTTGCCGAGGTAAAAGCCATAGTAGAAGAACATGTCCAAATGCTCCTGAGTCAAGTTTGCAAGGTTGATGTTGTTGGTTTATGTAGTTTTAATTTATGTTATTGTTGTTGTTGATGATGATTAAGTTGTTATCGTCATGTAAGATGAAGTAGTATTGTTTAATTATAAATGTAAGGGTCATATGCAATATTTTATAAGAGTATCTGCATTAAGAGATGATAAATCATATAATATTGAACTAACAAACAAAGCTTCCTTTATTAAATATTTTACTGACAAACAAAGTTGCATAATATAAATAACATTTCATGCTTAAACATAAAGACAATAATGAAAACAAATATTAAACATAAACATAAACATTAAACAAACATAATTTTTCTTTCTTTTTTTTTCTTGATTAATGACGGGCTATATCTATCAGGGGTATGGGTGAAGGGACGTAACATGCGCGAAAAAAATCTCCTTCGTCTTCCTTCGGTAGAACTGTCATCCCCAACACCCTCATTATCTGTGGCATCGTGTGTAACTCTCTCATCAACTGTAGGTTCTGCTTGTACCACATTTTTAGATGTATTTGTACATATTTTGTGTTGTTATGTCATCTCCCAAGACATGATTGGCACAAAATACTGTTCACCCAATGAAAATGTTTGCTGAGAAGTACCACCACACTCTGTTGTCACAAGTTCTAGTCGATAAACATCTTCATCATCATAATTTCCTTCATCCACAATTGTGTCTTCATTAAGGTCAAAGTTCCATGCATGAATGACAAGAGAAGGTCTGGCATCCTCAATGAGAAAGTCATATATAGAAAGTAACCCATGAGATGTCCCACTTCCACTGCTGCAATCAAGTGATCTCCTTCGACGTGATTCATTGCTTGTTGACCTACGACGATTATCTCTTCTATCAATAAACATTCGTGAAGGTTGTTGTTGTGGGGGTTCTTCATCCTATTCAAATGGCTGCCATTGGTTTGTGTGGTGACTAGTAAAACTCCTCATTTGGTTGAACTGACGGTAGTGGAATACCCTGTTGATGTTTGGACAGTGGTGAGGACATAAGTTCTTCATCCACCAAAAACTATTGTTGTTGGGATGGTGGTTGTTCCATTTGTGGAGACAACCATAACCAATTCATTACATACAATGTGTACCAATTCCAATACTCATTGAACGGGTAATACTGGTCAATTGCCATTCCCTGTAATGTATGTGATATCGTTGTTCCCACATCATCACCCAATCATCATGTATCAACCTCCAGTCCTTTGGGGCGGGAGAGGAATAGGTTGAGCAAATCCATATTGCTGCATCATACGATCAGTTGCATGGCAATCTACAACCTAAAAGCATATCAACGAGCTTACAGTGGACCACAATAAACGTTCTCCTCTCATATCATGTGGAACAACGGCATCAATCACTTCATCCTCATATGGTCGTCACATGAACTGCATTTTCAAAAATAATTATTCATAAATAATTTCAAACATGTATAAAAATAGTTAAGAAATGTATAAATATATTAACAAGTACCTCATGTAGTGCTATTTTATCTAGTCTAACATTTTCAAGATCCCTATATGGAGTCTTGGTTGGATATCGAAGACTTCTCCATCTGAGTATAAGTGGAAATACTACTAGTTCACCAGGTATTGGAGCCAACCACAGGAGCCTGTGTCATGCCCATACCTGCAATAATATTATACATCCATAAATTTCTTTGGCATCATGTCGTGAACAACGATCCAAACCTCTATACAGAAAAGCAAGGCATGCTGAACCCCAACTGTACATTCCAATTTCATGGACATTTACCAATAATTGTAAGAATTTTCCATGTACCAGGGAGTTGCTCTTGTTTGGCATTAAAATATGTCCCAACAAAAAAAGTACATATCCTCAAGCATTTTGTGCTATCCTAATGTTTGAATTAGCAGGAAGCCAACCAAGATGTTGTGTGGTCCACTTTAATCTTATTTCAGAACCTTCAATATCATTTGATTCGGGCTGACTTCCTTGTAACTGTTCACACATATTCTGCAATGCCAAAGTATTTGGATTAGTAGAACCAGTAACTGTTATACCATTGCATCGCAGTCCAAACAACATCTTCTAATGGTATTGTGCATTCTCCACAAGAAAGATGAAATGTATGTGTTTCTGCTCTCCAACGTTCAACAAGTACATTTATAAGACCATCATTTATATGCATGTGACATAATTGTGCAATACGATCAAAACTGGCATTTCATATAATCTCATTTATTTCAGGCCTAGGTGGCATTATAGATAAGTGACGTGGTCGTAATACTTTCATTACCTGAAATTTAAAAATAGTAATTTTTCAGTAATCTATGAATTAAATATATATTAATATATAAAAAACTAACTACAAAAAAACGATGTTTCTACTTAATTATACCCGCACATACTATTATTATTATTTTAATATAAATTGTGCTTTAGTTATTTTTGCATCTATTATTATTATTATTATTATTATTATTATTATTATGCTATACAATGGCTAATATTAACACTTAGTACGAATAATTTATTATATATTTTTCAATGATAATAATTTTTATTAAAAGTAAATAATAAAATAAAAATTATCCAATACTAAAATTTTATAAATTTTATTATGTTTACTTAGACTAAAATAATTATCTTAAAATAAATTACATTAATTAAAAAATAAATAACTCAAATAAAATTAAGAAAAAATTTTATTATACTACATTGTATGTATTAAAAAATAAATATTTACTTACATTTTGAGTACGAATATGTTGTGAAATATGTTTGTGCGATTCCATAGTCACGTCTTGAACCATTTTATTCCCCTCTTTAATATTGTTCTTCTATAAGCTTCTTCCTCGTTTTCTTTTTCGTATTTCCCTTTCTCATCCGCACATACAACATGGTTCAATTCCTATTTATAAGCATAGTTCCAACTCCATCCACACAAAATGACATTTCAATACATTATTGTATTAGTAAAATTGTCACTCACGATTTTTCCGTTGCAGGACAATGTATTACTATGTTGGTAAAAATCGCTACCCACGATTTTTCAATTGCAGAACTGAGCTAGTAAAACTCGCCACTCACAATTTTACTGGCTTCCCATAACACATGTACCCACCTAATTTTACTGAGTGTTCATTACATAAGCATGCTCACCTAATGCTTGTACCTCATTTTAGCCTGGAAAGATATAGTCAAAATTGTAGATTAAAAAGTCAAAATTGAAAGATATTGTAAACATCATCGCTAGCGACTTTTAAAATATCACACTTTTGTAATTATACAAAAAAATCATATTCCAGTAATTATGTTAGGAAAACACTATATTAAAATTAAATTTCCTCAGAGATACACTCCATGGACATTGCTTACCCCACTAGTGTCACATAGGACAAAATGAGAGCAATATTATAGCTTCTTATAAAATTTAATTTTAAATTATTAAATAAAAAACTAATTTTCTGTATAAAAAGGATTAATTTAATTTAACTTAAATTTATTTTTTATTTAAAATTTATCATTTTACTTAAGTTTTTTAATATAATAAAATATTTATTATTAATAATTATAATTTTTTGAATTTTATAATAATAACGTAATATATTTTCAATTAACTATTTAAAAAAATATATTTTAATTTAATCGTACTTATACAATAGAAAAAAGATATTAATATATTAAATCTCTTAGAAAAGCAAAATATTTGAAATTATTCAAAGAAGAAAAAAAAGACGTGTGGTCTTGTGACAGTAATTTATATGCAGGTGTATGATGACATCAACGAAGAAGCAGCTTAAGCATTTGAGATAAATATCCGACGTGGAAGCCACGTAAGACGAAACGGTTGAGGAAGCAGATGATGATCACGTGTGAGGGTACTGGTGTTGCCTCATCCAAAACGCAGCTACCGCAATGTGTCAGATTATCACGTGCATGTCACATGCCTTGCCCCCCTCTGTCAGACTTTATTGCTACACACGCACAAAACTCCATGCACTTCCCATCACACACAACATAAGTAGTTAGTATATCATATTACTCACGCAATTTTTATATAAATTAGATAAACAAACAAAATACGTTATACAATATACGATCCTATTATCCTTTATAGCTCGGTCCTCTGTTCTTTCACGTGCCCCCTTCCCTCCATATCTGCCAAATTTGCAAATTACCTGCAACTACATCTTCCCTATATTTTTGTGAACAATTATATTATTTATATAATATTTTAGCTTCTTATATATATAATATCTTCATTACAAATACCAGCTTTCTTTACATGCATTTCACCAAAAATTGTATCATTTGGATCCACCCATCCTCTGTTCTTTACGTGCCCACCTTTTTTTTCCTTTATCTAATTCCGCAAATTTGCAAATTACCTGTAGTTAATATACAATTTGAACCAAAATTTTCAATTTTGTAGCATACAAACACCACATCCCGGAAGTCATTATATATGAAATTAGTCACACACACACAATTGAAGACTTTCCAAAGAAATAAAATGAAGAAAAATTAGAGTTCTGCTCCAATTAATAGGTCGAACAAATATAAATTTCATGCATCAGTCTTCGATCATCAACAACAGACAAAAGAGTTCAAACTAAATGGCCCAATGCAATCAACGACAAGAGTACGTTGATTAACGAATGATTAACATGCACGTTAGACATTACACATAAGATAAAGGATCATCGTTTAATTAATCAATCCTATAACATGTGCTAAACCATATGAATATCATAGCGTGTCATAACGCATCACTGAAATACTCAACACTTTGAACACGAGAACCTTCATAATTGGTGGCAGTGGAAGTAGTTACAGTACTCCCACTAGACAAAAATGACACAGGGAATCCAAGCCCAGTATTAGTAGCAGCGACACGTTCAAGTGACTGAACCTGGGTTTTGAGAAATTTAAGGTAGTGAATTGCTTCATCCAACATAGAAGCAGTGTCCATTTTGGTTCCTCCAGGGACCAATCTCTGCAATATCCTTATCCTCTCACTGATCCTTTCTCTTCTGTGTCGTGCAGCCACACTTTGAGGATCCTTAGAAATCTTCACGTTCCTTCTCTTTGGTGCCTTCACCCACTCAGGTTCTATCTTTATCGGTTGCATAGCTGCTATTCTGAATATCATTTCCCTCATCAAGTTGGGTTTCTCAGTGGTTAATGAATTAGGGGTAATGTTAGAGAAAGAGGTTGTGGTTGATGGTGAGTGTTGTGTGAATGATGACCATGGTATGGAACTTGGAGTGTTATTAATTGAATTTGCTAGTGGCAATGATGTGGTGTTATTATTGTGTGTGATGGTTGATTCAGAGAACTCTTGTGGTTGAAAATTTGTCACCGAGTTGTTGGCTTCAGGAAAATGTTGCATCATCATCACCATCACCATCGTGTCCATCTCATTGTTATCTAACGAAAGGGTTGAGTTTAATCTCTTGAGAGTGTCCATTCAAGTAAAAATGTGAGAAATGGTAGCGGAGTATTTGAAGGATAATGAAATTGAAGAACTAGAAAATTTAATTAGAAGGTAGATAGATATGAAGGGATGGAAAATGGAAAAGATAAAAGAGAATAGTGGTAGAATTGATACTAGGACAAAGTATATATATATATATATATATATATATATATATATATATATATATATATATATATATATATTTGGAAGTCACTCTCTTTAGAAGGACTTGGAGTGCGTATATTACTATTGTTGAATTATTTTAATAATGTAGTATATGTAATTTATATCATAATTTTGATTAAATATTTAATGTGATAATTGTTAAATATAAAATATAAAGTTAGTAAAATATAATTGTAAATATAACTATAAAAAAAATACTTTTTAAAATAAAGAAGTGTTTATCAAAATAAGATTACAGTCTCTTTCATTTCACTTACATACTCAATAAACACTTACTTTTAACTATTAAAAAAATTATATATAAATATTACATAATAAAATCAATTCTTCGATCATATGTAAATGAGAGGTGGGCCTATCGGCACTATAATATTATAAACCGTGGATGAGCTTTCCTTGTTCTTATCATCACGAAGTTGTTAAAGCATTCGTATTTATATTTCCAATTTAGGAAAGCATCTCCTTTTGAATTTAAAAGAACACCGCACCATCCTCTTTTTTTTGGTCAAACAAAGGGAAAATGTGATCAATAAAAAAACATAATTATTCTTTTCATAATTCATTTTGGGTATTATACCATAAAATATTCATTAAAAAAATGAAATAAGATAAGAATATTATACAAGGTTCTGAAAGTGAAAACTTAAAAAAAGTGTTAAAAAAGACATTAATAAGATAGAGAGAAATAAAAGAGATTGTGAGGGAGTGGAGTAAATTAACATATTCAGCGAGTTTTCTTGAGTTAGTACAATTTATACTACAAAATTTTAAGAGTAACAACTATTTATTCACAATCTCTTGTGCAGCAAATTCAAACTTAAAAGATGAATTTGTAAATAAAATTTTCTACTATAATTTAATATTTATTGATAAGAAATCGTTGAATAATGCAATCTATTATTGTATGTGAGCACGCGCAGAAACACATAGAAAGTTATTCAAATAAAATAATTTGATTATTATAAAAGTGGGAATAACAAAACAAATAATATATTTCGATTGTTTAGAAAATGGGCTAAAAGATTAAAATAATATTTTTTTAAAACTAATTACCAAAATAAATTAAAACTCAAACTATTTTTTTATCTGGGATAAATTTTTGCCAACCCAGCACTAATTTTGTATAAAAATCAGATGAAATTAATTTTTATTTTTTATTTAACTATTTCGTCTAAGAGTGGGACGAAATTACTGAAATAATGACATATGTCCCATATTAAATAAAAAAAATAAAAACTCCAAAAAGATTTGAAATTTAGTTTGCTGCCTCGCAGACAGGTGGACCAATGGGAGAATTTCATCTCTGATTTAGATGAAATCACTATTTCATCTAAATCAAAGACGAAAGTCACTCATTGGTCCATGTGTCGGCAAAGTGAACGGACACCGAGAATCCTCTTCTCCTTCTCCCCACCGCCTCTGGTTCGAATCTAAAAGCCATAACCATTTTTGCTCTGTCACACAGTAGGATTTTTTGTTGTTTGTTTGAGCGATTTTTGAGTGAGTAAGTGGTTTTGTTCTTAATCCATTACAGATCCGTGATTTCGTCCATTTCCATTGTCACCGGTTGTCACTGTTCTTGGACTAAAAGTCTGAGAAAGTTGGAAAAACTTCCAACCTTTGCCGTCGGTGACAAGGGAGAAGAAAGGTACGAGGTAGTGGAGATACGCCACACATTGCACAAACTGCCATCGCCACCAAAGTCGTCCGTCGCCAGAAAAACTGTGCTTGACCGGAAAAATCTACACTAGGTTACTTTTATTTTATGTAATTTAAATTTTTTATAATTCAAATTTTATTGATTAGAAAAATATTGATAGAGTAGTTTAGATTAAAAATTGATTTTAATTTAATTTAGTAATTTTTTAGAAATATAAAACTAATCTTAATTTGTAAAAAAAATAAAATTTTACATGTAAAATTATCATAGTAATTTGAGGTGTAAATTAAAAAAAATAAAAATAAATTAAATACATTATATTAAATTATTAAATAATATTTAGAATAGAAAAATAAAAATAGTTGTATAAGATTGGTTGATTAATAATATAATAAATGATATTTAGAATACATATAAATTTGAAAATGAAATTTTCGTTTTTTAATATTAAATAACATTAAAAAATGTAAAATGATAACTCAATTTATGATTAAAAAATATTAATAGATAATTACAAAAAAATTATAAAAGTAAAAAATTAAATGTATTATAATTGACTATATATTAATTTATATTCAAATTATACTAGTAAATATTTAAGATTATAAATAATATAAAAATAAATAATATAATGACAATTAATTAATTATGATGAAATTAAAAATTTACTTATGTAAATAAAATGTTTAGAAAAAATAAATTTAAATATATAATTTAATTTATGATGAAATAACAATTTTAGTTAGTGAATTAAAATTTTTAGATTGATACTAAATATTTATATGTATTTATGATGAAATAACAATTTCAATTAGTGAATTAAAATTTTTATTAAATGTTCATAAATTTTAACTATCTTTATTTATTTTAGTAATTAAAAAATTATAATTTTAATAATTAATTAATAATAAAAAAATCATAAAATATCCAAAATTTACTAAAATTGATCGGGGGCAGAGCATGTAAGTGAGCGTGGATCCAAATGAATTTCGTCTTGGATGTAGACGAATTTAGATATGATTTCGTTTAATATGAAGACAAAATTAACAAGATTGTGTCACGTTTCATAATCCGGTTGTTTCATCTAAAACTGAAATTAATTTACATGTGATTTCATTCAATATCAAGACGAAATTAACAAGATTGTTTCATGTGTCAATATCCTGTGGTTTCATCCAAAATTAAGATAAATTTAACGAGATATGGACATGTGACGATATCCTAAAATTTTGTTCTAGTTTCATACGAAATTAACACATGTTTAATTGAGTGTTTTGTCTTACTTTTAGATGAAATAGTTAAATAAAAAAATAAAAATTAATTTTGTCTAATTTTTATATGAAACTAGTACTGAGTTGGCAAAAATTTATCTGACAAAAAAATAGTGAGTTTTAATTTATTTTGATAATTAATTTTTAAAAAATATTATTTTAATCTTTTAGCCTAGAAAAGGTCGAAGGCCCACTCACATGCCAAGTGCCAGAAATCTTACCTTTAACTTTAAATGGCTAAATTCCGCCGTTGACGGTGGGATCTGCTGCACCTGATTTCAACACCTCGCTTCTATCCAGTGGAAGAAGCTGAAGCTATGCCATTATCCTTTATGGGCACCAACTTCAACCAAAAACGTCACAAAAGTTAAGGATAAAACTGTAAGTGTAACTACAATTATTCTTTAATTAAAATTAAAGTTTTATTATTTTTTAGATTATAATTTTTTTTTGGTCAGAGACAATTATATTTGAGCTGAGGAAGATTATTGTGAACGATAATTTTTTTTAAAATATTTAACAAAGTTAAATTTATTATAACTTAACATTGTATTACTTTTAATTTTAGTAAATAAGAAAGTGGTTTTTAAAATATATAAAAATTAATTTATTTTTAAATATTTTATAAAAAGGTTATTTTTTATAATAATAAAAATATTTTTTATTTCAATAAGTAGTTATATTTTTTAAGTTATTCAAAATAATTTCTCTAAAGAAATTAAAAAAAAAAGTATACAATCTTAACCCAATAATCTAAAAAATTAAAAAGTGATTCTCAACTTTGTAAAAGTATAAAGCTTAGATACATACAGTATGATAAATATTTTTCGTATGGTTTCATTAAGTACGTCGATTTTTAATATTATCCATTATTATGTGGGTTATTAAAGTCACATCTTGTAACATCCTTATTTTTTGAAGATAATAAAGAAATAATTTTGTAATTAAAAAGAAAAAAATAAATTAAATTTATTTAACAATCAAAATAATACGTAGAATTATAAAGCATTTTACTTATTTTACTTAAATTTATAAAAACTTAAATACAAAGTAATAAAAATTAAACAAATTTAAGAAAAAGCATTGACAGAGCATCAATATATACATACATTATTCTAGCGAATTTACAAGGTTTAACATTAGCAAAATTTATATTAAAAAAATATTAAGACTCATTTACAATATATACAAAATATAAAAAAAATACAACAAGTCTTAGTGAGCAGTCTATCCACAAAAAAGACTGAAAGAAAATACTAGTCATCTCCATATTATCCCTCTATTATCGCGATATCGTCAGAATCGAGATCATCATTCGATCCTAGATATAGATCGCCTGAATCTGCAGTAACTTGTGTACCAATAATTCATTCAAAAGTCCATTGAGACAGCCTTTCAAGGTGATCGTGGTCATGATATGTAAATAGATAGGTTACAGCTGCTGGGATTCTAACTATACCATGATAAAGGTATATATACAAGGTATGGTGGATTCTATTGTTCATAGGGAAATTGCAAGGAACACTATAGGATAGTTCCATATCTAACATAATAATGTTACGGGGTATATCATCGAAATGTAAGGCTAACTTAAAATAACAAAACCTATGGTATTCATTAAATACATAGTTCAACCTACATTGTAAAAAACTATCTATGAGCCTAATGCTCTCTTTGGGTGTTGTCATCTTGATTCCTTGAAATATTTATGTAAGGATGAGTCTCTATTTTTATTACCAAGCATGCATATACAATTAAATCAACGATACAAATAAGAAAATACTACAAATCATCATATAACAAGATTATAAATT